TAAGGAGTATACCAGGAATGATGAGGTTGGCTGCTGTCTACCTGCTTCAGGTTTTAGCTTATCAAGAGGAGGAATTTGAAATATCATAAGATGTGCACACACCAGGTGCAATTAATCATCATGCCATCCTTAGCTGCATGTTCCTCTCAGTTAAGAATAAAAAGCTTTGAAGTCTTGATCTGGAGAGCTTCAATGCAGACCTGGTCCGGAGGGGTGCTGCATGCTGGCCATATTGGGATATCTTCGTTATCGTTACTGGGGATCCCGATAACAGATTGAAGAAAGTTGCTTGCTTGGTAATGTATGCCTGCTTCTTAGTAAAGATCATTTAACTTCTGTCCACTTGTGTTTTCATTGCTTCTGAATCTTCTAAAAAGAACCCTCGTCTTTGGCGAAACACACCTCAAGAACCATGATACAAACATGGTTGGCTTATAATGCGACTGTTACAGGTAGTCCTCACTTAATGACTGTTTAATAACAGTTTGAAGTTATGACGGCCTTGGAAAAAGTGCTTTATGACCTGTACTCACACTTAAGACTGTCGTAAACCATCACACCACCATCCCCGATCATGTGATCGCAATTCAGGCACTTGGCAACCAGCTTGTATTTACAACCAGTTGCACCATCCTGCGGTCACATGATCATGATTTGCAACCTTTTTTGCTGGTTTCCAAAAAACATCCTTTGGGGAAGCTGGATTCACTTAAAGATCACATGATTTGCTTAATGACTGATTGACTTTATGACACTTGTAAAAATGGTTGTAAAATCGGGTCACTTAATGACCACACCACTTAACAACCAGTTTTCCTGTCTCTATTGTGGTTGTTAAGCTACCTGTATTTCTGTCCTTTTTCTGACTTATATATTCATCTATTTTATTTTGTATTTGATCCAGAACAGTCTCTTAGGGACTACTTAAGTGTTTGGTAGTTGTATAGAACATTTTTTCCTATGTTGGATTCTGACTATCAGTGTGGGCCTGTTTTGTGCATCTGCTGAAATAGTTGTGATGTTTTGATGAGTCAGAAGCCATATTCTATAATCAATTGCAAGAACACACAACTAGCTTGTTGTAGGTCATGGATCTGAGCAAACACAGATAAGACATTTTCCATGTCTACTGGACACTGAAATGATTTTGGGGAATATCATTTTTCATTCTGTATCAAGGTAGCTTCATAGTTTTATTGTGTATTTTAGCATGAAAATACATTTACTGATTATCAAGTAAAATAATGAAAAACTTGAAATTGTCAATTTTGTAAAATTATACCCGCCTGAGGAAAATATGACAAATTGTTTCGCTTAAGCAGTCTACAACCTTTCCAGTGAGAAAATGCACACTTTTTCCTCTTGTGTCTTGTAAAATGTAGAATCCATAGAAACTTGTACTGATAATAAATGACTCATAGACCATGTTGGGCCCCATTTTGAGTCACTGTTATGCAGTATTAATAGGCTTTTTTAAAATAATCAAGATTAGGGAATGGATATGGAAAAGAGGGAAGGTTCTCCCAAATCTCTTTATAGCTGTCAGTAGTGTTATCTGTAGTATGATTCTGAATTGTCAAACTTTATCCAATATCCAGCAGATGCTTCTGAGAATGTACAATTCTGCAGGGAGAAATGGTCAACTGACTTAAATTAATCTTGCCTTGAAGATTTATGAAGGTAGAGCAACACACTTCTGTGAAGTACCTCATTGTGTTGAGGCACAGTATTGTGCATCAGTGATATAAGGAACCTCATTAAGTGACAATGATCTTTGCAGGCCCAGTAACCATGGTGGCTAAAAGTATTTTAATAAGCTGAGGATGATACATCAGCTACAATCTTATCTGCATGCAGCAGACCTTGCCCCATGATCTGGTTATACCCAGAGTAGGCTACTGAAACTTTAATAAGGCTTCCTACTAGCTTAAGTTTCGGATGTTTCAACCACTGAAACTACTTACAAAATATAAGCTATAATGTTGGTGAAGGAAATGTTACAACTGTTTTTTGCTCAATTTAATCACTGCCCAGTCATTTTGGAACTAAATTCAAAGTACTGGCACTGAGCTTTAAAACTCTGATTAAGTAGGCACTAAATTATTTGAAGTACAAGCTGCACTGTTAGGAGTACACATTACTATTAAAATTTATGACAGTAACCCTGCTTGCATGCGCTGATAACTGCACAATGAAGTATGG